CAGCCGCGGGTTCAATTCCTGGCTGGCCAGAGAGAAACCCACATGGCGCGGCAGACCTCTCCTGCCTTGCCCACTCCCCTCAGCAGTGTTTTCGGTCCGTCTGCCTGTTCTGATTCCCACTCTGTCTCTGGTAAATTCTCTCACTCTCCCACGCCTCTGACTGTACTCCAATTCTTGTATAAATAAATCAGTCTTTAAAATAATAATAATAGGCCTCACTTCTGAAATAGTAGCAGTAACATCCTGAGCCTTATGGTTCTCTAGGGGAGGAACAAGTCAAATAGAAGGAACAGCAAGTGCAATAGCTCTGAGTTGGGAATATGCCTGATATAGTCAAGAGTAAGCAAGAAGGCCAGTGTGACTGGATTAGAGTGAGAAAGGAAAACAACAGTAAGAAATAAGTTTAGCCATTGTAAGGACTTGGCGTCAACTTAAGTAACGGGAAGCAACTGAATGATTTTGAGCTGAGAGTTGTATCTGACATAGTAGAAGGCTGTCAAGTAGGCTTGTGGAGAAGCAGGGAAATCATTTGGAAGACTGTTGCAATGATCCAGACAGAAAAGGATAGTGAAAGGTTGTTGAGAACATGGTCAGTCTGGAGGCATTTTAGAGAGAGAGCTCACAAAATACGCTTATGGTTCAGGTAGAGGTATAAGAGAAAAAAGGAGTCAAAGATGACCTCTGAATGTCTGACCGGAGCAATTGGGGAAGATTGCGTTGTCATCTGCGAATGCTGAGACTGCTACAAGAGAAAAGGTTTGGAATAAAAAGAACATAGAAATTTAGTTGTGAACATGTTGCAATTGGTTGTAGGAGTTCAGCATTCAACAGTGGGGAGGTAAGTAGGGTTATAAGTAACAATCCACTTCTTTGAGTCATATGTAAATGACTTAATGAGGCAAGATACAAATCCCGGCCAGTTGTGCACCAAGCCTCTGAAGGTAATTAGAAGTAAAACTTCCCTCAGTCTAAGTTCTCTAAAGTAAGGAAAGAACAGAGTGGTTCTTAACGAATTAATTAAAATTTCAAAAAATCTTTTGCCAGATATTGGCAAAAACTAGTATTTATTATGGCAGGCGCCACTCTGAGCACTTTGCATGTGTCACCTCATAGAATCCCTGCAGCTGTGTTATGTCACTGTTGTACAAAGTAGGACACTGGCTGCTACTCAGAGAGACTGAGTTATCTGCAGAGGTTACAAGTCACAGTGCTGATCTGTCGTAGAAGCAAGTCAAGTTACCCACACAAAGTCACAGCACTAATTAGCCATAGAAATATGATTTGAATCCAGACAGGCTAGTTCCATAGCTTCTTCACTATACTACTTTCCCTTTCGATATAAACACAATAGCGATATATCTGTAGACCACAAGCAAAATGTTCTTTTTTCAGAGGCAAACTTTGAAAATGTAAGGATAAATTTATGCATAATTCCTTTTTCCTGCATTTTGTAATGAAAATTTTAACACATGGAAAATTGAAAGATTTGTACACTGAACTCCCATATCTCCACTGTGTAGATAATACAGTATTTTTTAACAGTTAACATTGCTAAAAGTGCTTTACCATGTATCTAGCCATCTCTGTCCATCTATCAATCAACCTTACTACTCTGATGCATTTCAAAGTAAGTCAGAAACACCAGTCCACTTTACCCCTGAACACTATGGCTGTGTTCATGATTCTGTAATACACATTAAAAAATTAAACCAATACTGTTGGATTTATATTAATTGCAAGTATTGTTAAATAGACTGAATGTGACTATAGAGAAGCTCCTAGAATTTTCTAAGAGAATGTTAGGATGTTCTCGTTCAAAATATTATTGGTAACAGTAATGTAATATTCAATTCTGTGCACACAGAGGATGGAGAGGCACGTGAGAGGGATGAAATCCGGCATGACAGGCGAAAAGAAAGACAGCATGACCGGAATCTCTCCAGGGCAGCTCCTGATAAGAGGTGGGTGCTCTCAGAGATAAAAACAAATTATGAAGAGCCTGTGTAAACCTTTAAGTGAGAAGATTTAGTATTAAGGCCAGTTTTGCTTCTCACCTTTCCCCTTTTGTTTGAGTACTTAATAAGCCACTTATTTTCTTGCACTTAGCTACTTATTTTGTCTTAGAAGAATTGACTGCCTAGAAGTAATATTCCATCACCTTGTAGTGTCAACTAGAAGTGAGGATTACATGGATATAGAAAAGCGAATTCTGATCATGTTAGTGAAAAGAAAATAGTGGCTGATAGGACTGTTCTCATCTGTTCTTACTTTGAACAGTGAGAGAAAATTTGTGTTCCTATTCTTCTAGACAGGAAATAAGCTGCCATGCCTTTTTTGAGATCCTTTTATGTGCTTAGTACTGTACTAAGTACAGTGGGGAAGAAAAGCAAGTTTTGTAAGTAGTAAAAATATGCTTTATCTTGTAAGCAATTTAACTTAATTTTGAAAGAGCTGTCGTGTAAAATTATTGGGCATATTGACACATCACTCTTGATAAGTACAAATTGATTTAAAAAAAAAAAACACCAGATACATGTATGGGAACTTGAAATTAAGTAGAAATTGTGGAAGTCTGTGGTTCACCAAAGGACTGAAGTTGTTGAAAAGTTGAGAAAACACTGTAAATATGGAGATGGGATGCTTATTTAGGGTTAAATGCATATATATAACATTTTCTTTCAAAATGAGCAGTTTTCCGTAATTTTTTCATCATCTTATGGGCTGATGAAATGCATTTTTTAATTCATGTCTTAAACATGAAAATAATTGTCTTTAATGATATATTTCATCTCTCACGGAGAAGCAGAAAATCGGAATTTAGGGTTGTGAATATACAGTGTAATAGAGAGGAATGAAATGTAAGTGTATGTAGTTTATCACACTCTTGTTCTAAAATTCCTGAACTGTAGGGCCTCCCCGGTGGCGCAGCGGTTGAGCGCTGGGTTGCGAAGCTGTCCACAGCCTCTGCAGTGCTGGTTTGATTCCCGGCTGCTCCCTGGCCACCGGAGGAGAGTCCCGCATGGCGTGCAGACCTCTCCTGCCGCCCGCTGCTCCCCTTAGCGTGTACTTTGGTCCTTCTGCCTGCTCTGCTCCCGGCTCTGGCTCTGGTGAATTCTCTCACCCTCCCGCGCTTCTGACTGTACCCAGTGCTTGTATAAATAAATAAATAAATCTTTTTTTTGAAGGGGGGGGGGCGTTTAAATAAATAAATAAAATTCCTAAACTTTAAAAACCAAAATAGCTCTGTAGATAAATGAGAATGGATAGCATTGATTACAAGGTCTATACTTGCAATCAAATAAAATCAGATTGTCTGTAGAAATCACTTTAAGTCTTCAGCTTCTAGCAAAACAAATGATGACAGTTACCATGAGGTCATAATGACAGATTGTATACATACAGAAGTGGCAGAAATTAATCTGAACATTAAAATTCATACAAAGCAATCCAGTCATTGACATGTGACATGTGTACCTCAAATTCTAGTAGGATAAAATAACTAATTGCCAGTAGCTAAAAAGAACTGGTTCTAGTTTATTGACAGTAATTTATATAATACATCTAATTTGTATCCTGTCCCTCATATAGTAATAGCAAATATAAACCATAGCAATTTCTTACCTCAGCACACATTAATAGCTTGTATTAAAGGCTTCATATCAAGAATGAGACTCTTTGGGCCACCCCGGTGGCGCAGCGGTTGAGCGCTGGGTTGCGAAGCTGCCCGCAGCCTCTGTAGTGCCGGTTCGATCCCAAGCTGCTCCCCAGCCACCGGAGGAGGGTCCCACATGGCGCAACAGACCTCTCCTGCCGCCCGCTACTCCCCTCAGCAGTGTACTTTGGTCCTTCTGCCTGCACTGCGCCCCGCACTGGCTCTGGTGAATTCTCTCACCCTCCCGTGCTTCTGACTGTACCCAGTGCTTGTATAAATAAATAAATAAATCTTTAAAAAAAAAAAAAAGAATGAGACTCTTGGCAGCTCTTTTTAGCTAACAGGAAGGCCCACCTAGTAATCACATACCTGAAATCCTCCAAAGGCCACCAGCCCAATAAAGCATTATATGGAGTGTATGTTCACAAATGTGAAAGAACATATTGTTCCTTTACCTCTTAGATTGGTTGTAAGTTGTGAGTTGAAATTCAGCTTGCGGGCCTCCCCGGTGGCACAGCGGATTGAGCGCTGCACTGTGAAGCGGTCTGCAGCCTCTGCAGCATGGGTTCGATTCCCAGCCAGAGAGAAACCCACATGGCACAGCAGACCTCTCCTGCCTCGACCGCTGCTCCCCTCAGCAGTGTCTTTGGGGCTTCTGCCTGTTCTGCTTCACGCTCTGTCTGGTGAATTCTCTCACCCTCCCGCACCTCTGACTGTACCCCAGTTCTTGTATAAATCAATCAATCTTAAAAAAAAAAAAAACCCATCACCTTCTTTAAAAAAGAAATTCAGCTTGCTTGTGAAGAGTTTTCAATTAGCGGCATCATGTTTCAAAACAGGTCAAAACTTCAGAGAAATGAAAACCGAGATATCAGCGAAGTCATTGCTCTTGGTGTGCCCAATCCGCGGACTTCCAATGACGTTCAGTACGACCAGAGGCTCTTCAACCAGACCAAGGTACAGGAGATTAGAATCAGCGTATCTCAAGTGTTGTTATGAATACTGATCCTCAGGGAAAAGAAAATTCACGTATCGTAGATTTAGAGTAGCCTAACGTGCACTAGCATTAGGACAGAAAACAACTGGAAGTTGTAGCTTAAGAGACAAGATGAAACAGCTCTGATTTTGACTTTACAGTTGACTAAGATTTTTGCGACACCAGTAGAAAATGAAATTAGGATGAAACTTGGATTTTATTTTTAAAATAGAGCGTATGTTCTACGTAAGTATCTCTTGAATTATTTTGTTGTTGATCTTTGAAAAAAAAGGTTTAATGCTACAGTAACACAATAAACTTGAAATCTTTATTTAAAAAAACTAAAGAAATAGACTAGTCAGGAAATTTGATTTCTAGTGCCATTTATTATTAGGTAGGACATTGTAGATCTGAAATATTTTAATTCCTCCAGCATTAGCTATTTACTATGCATAATGTTAGTGAGAGCAAAGATTTGTCTTTATCCTTAAAAAAACTATAGTTCGCTAGAAAAGACAAATACATGTAGGTAATTAAATGCAAAGTAAACTGCAGGTAGCATTTGAGTGAGCAAATCTGGTTATTGTTGGGTGCTTATGTATATTCCTGGTGGTGTTCTAAGACTTTTACTTGTTTAATCTTGCACAATCCTTACAAAAATCCTATGAAACCATACTGTTATTACCTCTTCTACAGATGAGGAAATTGAAAAACATGGAGCTATATCTTGAAACACATGGAGATATAGCTCCTAACTGATGGACCTAAGATTCAAATGTGGGTTGTCTTGATTCCAAAGCTGTTTTTAAACCCTGCAATGGCTACTCATCAGCCTGAGCAAAGAGGATTAGTGATCAAAGTTCCCCATAAGTAATTATTTATAGAACAATTAACTTTCACAAACTTAGAGAATTTAAAAGTTCCTAAAAAGGCACATTCTGTGTTAACAAACCATCCAAATATATGAAACAAGTTTATTTAATGCTAACCTGAGGTTTTCATTGAGAAGTATTATTGTGTCATGCTATAATATGTCTTTAGGCAAGAGGTGTAATTTCATCTAAACACTTTATAATTCTCTCATCTGCTTGCCACTATATCTATACAATTTATATCTATACAAATTGAAATTGCCAAGTACCTACTCGTAAGTAGTATCCCTCCATTTTAATGACTACTTTGACAAAGTAGTCAAACTTTCTCAATTGACTTAAGAACCCAAAGGTGATATGAACAAGTTTATGACCTTTGTGAAGATTGACCTTTTTTATGAAGATATTTTTTAATTTGAGAATGTAAAAGTGAGTATTCTTCACATGAATATGATTCAACGTTTAATAAATAGTAACATACATTTTCTTGTTAACATCATCTTTTCCTCAGGGTATGGACAGTGGTTTTGCAGGTGGAGAAGATGAAATTTACAATGTTTATGATCAAGCGTGGAGAGGTGGTAAAGACATGGCCCAAAATATTTACAGACCCAGTAAAAATCTGGACAAGGACATGTATGGTGACGACCTAGAAGCCAGAATAAAGACCAACAGGTACCACGGCAGAAAGCTTAGTTTCAGTGTTTGCACTTGTGACAAGGTAGTTATTACAGTTCTTTCTCTTTCCCCCTAGATTTGTTCCCGATAAGGAGTTTTCCGGTTCAGATCGTAGGCAGAGAGGCCGAGAAGGACCTGTTCAGTTTGAGGAAGATCCTTTTGGCTTGGACAAGTTTTTAGAAGAAGCCAAACAGCATGGTGGCTCTAAAAGACCCTCAGACAGCAGCCGTCCCAAGGAACACGAGCATGAAGGCAAGAAGAGGAGAAAGGAGTAAGAGACACCTCTCTTCACAGTGAATGAACTGTTATTCAAGCCCTCATGATGCAAGTCATATGGGGAAACACTTTGTAAATGACCAGGATAAAAACCAAATCTGGGTGTCAGAACCTAGCGCTACCTTTTTATTATGGGAGAGAGGGGGAGGATGATGGAAAATTCTACTTTGAACTATTTAGTTTTTTTAAAGAGTGGGTTGTGTTTGTCTTTTCCCCACCTTTTGGCATTTATAGAACACGTTCCCCACGCACAAAATTAAAACCATTTCCTTTCGTGTGACATTAGTACTTTGGGGTTAATATTTTGTGTAAGAACAGCTACTTATGAATGAAGTTACCCAACTACAGTGAGTAGAAGGATGTTCATGTATTGGAACTGTCCTGCCAAATGTTCACCCCTATCACACTGTTTTAATTTGGAGTGGGGAAAGTAAGCTCTGCTTGGTGCAACTACTTGTTTCAAATAAAAACATTTAGACAAAAATTTCCATTTTGTTTGCTCTATTTAATTGGCAATTAATAGTCTCAAAAATCTTTCTCTTCATCAGATGTTTGATCCCCTTGCAAAACTTTTGGTCTTTGAGCTTGAACATGGAGCTGAAAAAAATCAAAAAGCACTGTAAGGAAAGGCAATGTCTGCAAAAATATGTAAACTGAAAAGTGGCACTTTAAGACAGCCTTTTCATTAGAGTCAGCACCATTAAGTCAAGAGGATGTTATTTGTTTCCTTGTTCTTAAGACTCTTTGAACAGCAATTAAAAACTGAATTAGTCTGACTCAAGGTCACACAGTAAATAGAAAATAGAGGATTTCAATCCAACTCTGCCTGGATTGTAAGCGTAAGATCCTACTCTTCCATTTAACAAAATGAAAGGGTTCCTTCCGTAGACCTTACAGAGCTGGGCAGATTACCACCACCACCCATTAACAAACATAAGGCAAACTCAGTTACAAATCTCCCAAAGCCCCTGTCACTCCATGCTCTGACCTATTTAAATCAATATACAGAAAGTTCATAAATAGGACACAGAACAACATGTACCTTTACTCCATCAATAACATGATTTTCCTGTTGTAGTGCATTATGAAGTTCTTCTTCTGAAGAAAACTGAATCCAACCCATACCTCTGTGAAAGCCAGTCTCTTTGTCCTAAAAATTACAAATTTAGGAGAAAATGATTAACTCAACAAAGTTCCCATGAGCTCCAAAGCAAACTACCATATTTTCCTTCTGCCAAAAGGGGTAATAGACATTTTAACATACCAAAAACCTTGCTTTACTACATATTCGCCCTCCTAACTAACCAAGGATTAGTCCCTGTGTTAATATTTTCTCTTATTTTCTGCTGCCATTAGAGAAGTAAAATATGGTCAATAAGCTAGCTTTCTGTGTCATTCTAGATACAAATCTCACAGCAAGTCAAGAGAAATTTTGAAAGCATAAGGAAATACTCTTCTGTTTATAACTTCTTCACTTCTACAAACTAGAAAATTAAGGCAAAAGACCTAGCTGCATTTCTGGAATTTATGAGACAATTACCCTGGACACCACCACTGTTACCATCACATGCTCCTAATGAAAAATAGGGAAAAACATTAAAAACTACCCTTCTTACCTAGTTCCAGATTTCTCAAACAATTGAGTTACTTCCCCTCATGCAAAAGGCAACAGTGATACATGTACACTGTCTTGAGTCAATAAGCTTATGATAACTTGTTACTTAACAGTAACACAAATACCTAGGATGAGGATTTTTTAAACTTTTTAATCAGTATCACCCAAATTTTATTTTTTTTTAAGATTTATTTATGCATACAAGAGCTGGGGTACAGGCAGAGATGTGGGGGCCAGGGGGACAGGATTCACCAGAGACGGAGTGGGGAACAGAACAGGCCAATTGACCAAAATACACTGCTGAGGGGAGCAGCGGGCAAGACAGGAGAGGTCTGCTGCACCATGTGGGTTGCTCCCTGGCAGGCCGGGGATCGAACTCGTGCTGCAGAGGCTGCAGATTGCTTCATAGTGCAGTGCTTAACCCCTTGCGCCACCAGGGAGGCCCCTCACCCATAATTTTATTAATAAAAACACTGAAGAGCTTCACTCCATTAAAAATCCACCTAAGCTGACATGCTCTACTGAAATAAATTCAAGAATTTGAAGTTAACATAAATGCTTTTTTTTTTTTAAATAATACTCACGAAAGGTAGAGAGCACCTGCGTACATGTCCGAACTGCGCGAAATGTTCTCTCAGCTCAACTGTGTGCAAGGGGAATATATTAAAAGTAGTTAATGTATTTTGTATTCTCCACCCCAGATTGTAGAAATCAAAAGGGTTTCTAAAGTCCCCGAATTTATTGTGAACAGAAGCTACTTTGCAGTTTCTTAAAGCCTTAAGATTTTTTTTTTTTAAAGATTTGTTTATTTATGCATATAAGAGCTGGGGTGCAGACCAGAGATGCAGGGCGTTTGAGAGGATTCACCAGAGAGTGGGGAGCAAAACAGGCAGATCTACTGAAATACACTGCTGGAGGGGAGCAGCGGGCTCGAGAGTAGAGGTCTGCTGCACCATGTGTGTCACCTCCCTTGCCAGGGATCGAACTTGTGCTGTAGTGGCTGCGGATAGCTTCACACTGCTGCGTCTCAACCCTCTGCACCACTAGAGAGGCCTTAAGATTTAGAAAACAGCTATGACAGCTATGGTATTGACTCTAAAACTGCAACATACCAGATTTGGGGAGGTGGGTACATGCACAGATAAATTGCTGAGTTGACTGTAGTCTTCATCCCCAACAAATACTGAATGTCCTCATCATACTAGGTACCCAGGCCAAACACATCTTTACTGAATATTTTACTGGCACCTACTGCAATACAAGACAATATATTAGCCATCTTTAAGAGGTCTCAACGATGAATAGTATATAACCTTGATCAAAAAATGACATGATCTTTTCTCTTTTGAACTACAGTGCTTGTACTTTTGCTGATCTGCATTTCATATTACCTGCTTATTTTCCCTAGTTCATCTAAACCTCATTTGATCAACAACTGCCTATATTTGTTGTAGGTCTTTACCTACACTTTACCACCACCATTACACCATAAGCAACCTGAACATTGATTCCACTGTGTCCACAGTGACTTATACACCAGAGGGCAATATTAGCTGAATGAAGAAATAATGTCCTGTAATCCTTCAATAAGCAACAGGAACTAAATTTCTGAAGAACTCTACATGATTGGTCAAACCCATCTAGCAAGATCAGAACCTCAGAGAACATGTTACTGGAAGATAAATAAAATAGTGTTCGACACATTTTAAACCAGGTACTAAAACTTCTAGAAAACATTCATTTCCTCCCCCACCCCCCAAAAAAAACACAACTCTTTTTCTACATCACTTACAATTATTACAGAAAAACAGCCACAAGCACCAAGAACAATGCCAATCACATAGTACATACTTCTTAGATAGTTGAATGAATGAACTAAGAGACTATTTCAAATTTGCATGCTATGCAGACTCTTTTTATGGGTTTTAAACCAGCCCATTACAGTCTGGAAACCTGCATCCAGAAGATGCTAGTGAAACCACTCAGCCTTTCCACAGACCAAGTCCTCACCCTCCACAAACTGAGAAGGTGGGGGCACAAATTGATGTATTTTTCATGTTGCTACTCACACCCGGGCCACAAAATTTAAGAGGAAAGTAATCCATCCCATTCTTTTGTTTTAGGGGGCTGATCTGAAATATTTTCAAAAGTGAGACTGAGGATTTTTAGATTTTTCTAAGCAAATTACAGAATACTTAATCTCAAAACTGCAGTTCACAAAAATCAATGTTGCTGAGAGATTCCATTACGGATTACTCCCAAACCTCTTCCATGAGCTTTGACTTGAGTAACTGTGAAAGTAACTATCATTACTTGAGTACTTACTCTATATCTTGCACGTCTAGAAAGTCTACACAAACTCGTTTGAGCAAATCAAACTTGGCATAAGCATTACTGACTCCATTTATAGATGATAAAACTGAGGTCCTTTCCCCAAATTACCTTCAGTTATTCAGATTACCCAGCTAATAAATGGCCCAGGTGGAATTCTTAATACTAATAGTATGACTTAAGAACATATTTCTCAATCATAATGCTATACAATCTCTTAGGTCTAACGTCCAAACAGAGACCTTAAAAGACTTTCAAACTCTACTTCTATTCCTCTTTCGAACTGCTCCTAATTTTAACAAAATTCACTAACGTCAACACCAAAATGTCATTCCTCTTTCCGTCATTCACGAAAAGCTGTTCATCTTTTAAACACAAACAGATCTGACCCTTCCAGATACCACTGCCCTAGTTCAGGTACTTTTTTTTTTTTTTTTTGAATTTATATTTATACAAGAACTGGGGTACAGTCAGAGGCGCCAGAGGGTGAGAGAATTCACCAGAGACAAAAGCAAGGAGCAGAACAGGCAGAAGGACTGAAATACACTGCTGAGGGGAGCAGCGGGTGAGACAGGAGAGGTCTGCCGCACCATGTGGGTATCTCCCTGGCCAGCCGGGGATCGAACCGGCGATCGAACCAGCGACGCAGAGGCTACGGACAGTTTCACAGCGCTGCGCTCAACCCGCTGCGCCACCGGGGAGGCCCAGGTACTCACTTTTGAACTAAATTATAAAATTGCCTTCAGCATCTCTTCTCCCCTCCAATCTTGCCACTCTGCATCTAATCTGCCCACTGCAGTCAAAAGATTCCCTTCGAAATCCTAAACCTTCAAGATCATAATAAACCAAATCACTGCGAAAGGCAGATGATCAAAACTACTGGCCACAAAAACTCAAGGGCTATCCCCGAAGCTATATAACCAGAAACAAAATTTCTTGGCGCTCACTGGCTTGCTCGGGGGCCAATTCAGCCCCCGGATCCAAGCACGCTGAGCGAGCCGCAGAAAGCAGAGCTTTAGAGAACAGCTTGGGCCTCAAAACTGCAGCCCGACTGCAACTCCGTCACTCACCCGAGTTAGCGGTCCAGGGAATTTTTCTGACAAAAGCAACGTGCCGGCCCATATTGGCCCGCAGCGCCATGGCGCCTCTCACTGCAGGGGCCGCCATTTCCCGGCTGGGGCACCTCCGTGACCGGTGACCTCGACCCCGGAAGTACCTGTCAGAGCCCAGCGCAAGGGGATCTGCTTCCGGGTCAGAAGAATGCAGGCGGCGAAATGGGGAAGATGGCGGCGGCCGTGGGCTCTATGGCGACGCTGGCGGCAGAGCCGGGAGAGGACGCCTTTCGGAAGCTTTTCCGTTTCTACCGGCAGAGCCGCCCCGGGACCGCAGACCTGGGAGGAGTCATCGACTTCTCGGCGGCCCAAGCAGCCTGCGGCACCGGGCCTGGGGCCCTCAAGGTACGGAGGGACGAACGGCGCGCCGCTCCCCGTCGCCTGCCTCGCCTCGGCTCACCTCGCTCCTTGGAGGGGCTGCAGGGTCCTCCCCGCCTCTCTTCGCGTACAGACTGGTCATCGTGAGGGCTTCTCGCCCTCTGCGGACGCGAAGTCGAACTGCCCCTGAAGCGTCAAATTCGCGACGCAGAGCTTTGCTGCCAAGTTCTTCACGCGACCATTTCTGCCACGTCGGGCCAGAAATGCCTGTGATTGCCCATTAGTCTTTCTGTTACGTGTCCATTCGCAGTTATGCCTCGATTGATGTTAAAACCCGTGAAATGTGTTTGGCGACTGTAGGGTAGCGTTCTGCAGCTGTGCAAACCAGCTCCCCGAGTAATCTCAGAATTGAAGGGATTGATGTTGTTCGATAAGCCACTGCCCATAAAACTGGTCCTTGTCTTCTCTCGGCCCTTTCAAAAGGGAACATCATGAGATTCTGAGATGACCTCCCAAAAGAGGACAGCGAAGGGCAAGTGAAACCAAGCACCATCCATTATTTCTACCTGTTCCCATGGAATTAAGCGATAGGGGAGGTGGGGAAAGAGTGGACCCAGGGAGAGCTGCGTCTGCAGTGGAATGTGTGTTTTCTTTACAGTAGCTTTAACATTGATCTCTTCATTTGTTCTTCGTGTTGTCCACAGACTGCTGGATGCGGCATCCTTCACAAGCTTAGTAACAGCTCTAAATAAAATTGAAATGCTATAGTGACCCCATATTTGTCTAGAACTCAGCTTCTTAGCAACTTCTAACCCATCTAACTTTTGTTAGCAAATGGTAAGAGTTGTCAGTATAAGTTGGTAGCTGTAGAATAATACACTTTTCTCATGGGAGCCTCCCCAGTCATATCCTTGACCCATATTTTTACCGTAATATATACATACTTTTAGAATGTAAACACTCTTGAGGAGGCATTGTGGCTAGCACAGCACTTAAAAGGCAAGATTCAATAAATGTGTTAGCTGTTAAGTACATAAAAACGTGGATATTTAGTTCCCTAACTCAAAGCAGATTGAAAGTAGCAAATTAGAGCGGTGCATTGGAGAGAAAATGATGGTTAATAGTGCAGAAAGGAAAGGAGCAATAAATTTTTTTAAAAGCTCAGGTTTGGCTCAGTATAGGGTATAATAAAGACAGATTCACAAACTTTACATCTGAGGATGTTGCAAAATTACAGTGCAGTATTAAGTATGGTCTATCCAAGAAATCATTACAAAATATTTAAAATAAAAGCATTTTATCAGCCCATAGGTACCTGAAGAAGTTAGATGGTCAGGACTCTCAGAAAGATCCAAGTAGCCATTTTATTATAAAGACTGGTTATATACCAGCGACTTATTGGTATTTGTTTGGCAGACTAATGAGGATAAAAGATTATACCTCTTTGGAAGAACATATTTGTGTTCTAAGACTAGCAACAAGCCATACCCTAAGTTTATTATTTATAAAAGAATAAAGTTTCTTTTTCTATATGTCCTTTAGTAATGGCATATTGGATCTTTCAACCAAATGAGATGCATAATCTGTGCTTATGTGTAAAGAAATCTTCATAAGCCTTCTAAGTAATTAACGAAGGCAAAAGTTCTAAGTTTTGTTTTAAGTTCTAAGTTCAATGTAAAGTTTTATCTAAAGAGAGAAAAAGTAGTTATTTTTATCAAGCAGGATTCCCAGTGTTTTATTGGGAGCACTCTCTTTCCATGCTCTCACCTCCCCAAGTTTGTGTTCCTTATAGACCTGCTTAAGCACCAACTTAAGCTCCAAAAGCATTGTTAGCCATAACTGGTTGTGGTATTCCTGTACACCAAACACCTTTCATGATCCAGAGTCCTCTAAGAAATCACAAAGGTGTGGTACCATAGGAAAAAGTAGTTTTGAAGGCCCAGATAAGCCTGCTTCTCATTACCACTCAGTTTTTTGTAGCTCTCTAGTGTTTGTTAGTATTGAGGATATTATCTAAAGGGTTAAGTGACTTACCTAAAAGTCTTACATCAAGAAAGTATTAGAGCTAAGTTTAAGACCGCAGACTTAAAACTTCTAACTTCCCCCATACCAGAAATGTCCTTAGAGGCTAGAGGATCTCTGAGTTAACCTGTAAATAGCTCTAGCCTTCTGACTTATGTTTCCTTCCTGCCAGGTGGTCAGATCTCCGCTAAGTGTGTCCTCCGTGAGTGAGCATGATGCACATAGAGCAGGACTTCAGCCAGTCAGCAAGTGGCGAGCCTATGGACTTGAAGGCTATCCCGGTGAGTGCAGCTGACCTCAGAAGGCAAAATCACTCAGTCATCCATCCTCAAAGGAAGAGCAATAAGCAAGTAAATGGACAAAGAAAACAAAACACACAGAAGGAAAGTTTCCATTCCTAAATTCTGCCTCATCTTAAGATTTCCATTTATTTAGCATTCCCAAAAGATAGAATTTGAGTCTAGTGTCTGCCTTCTGTTGCAGAAAGTGACATACCAGGCACAAATAAAAAAATTAAAGACACTGACTTTGGGTCACTACTCTAACTCTAAACACCTGCTGTCAGAAACACCACATTGGGGATCTCCCCGGTGGCACAGCAGGTTGAGCACGGCACTGTGAGGCTGCTCACAGTCTCTGCAGCGCCGGTTCGATTCCCAGCCAGCTGGGGGATTCCCACATGGCGAGGCGGACCCTTCCTGTCTTGCCCACTGCTTCCCTCAGCAGTGTATTTCAGTCCTTCTACCTGTTCTGCTCCCTGCTCTGTCTCTGGCAAATTCTGTCACCTTCCCGTGCCTCTGGCCTGTACCCCAGTGCTTGTATAAATAAATAAATCTTTAAAAAAAAAGAAAGAAAGAAATACCACTTTGAATGATAGAATAATTCATAATGATCCCTTCAGTCAAAAAATTTTGTCCTACATTTTCAAATGACAGAATTTAAAATTGTTGCTATCATCAAGGCTGAACCTTGAAAAGACAATTACAGTTAATGAGATCAAAAGTTCTAACAGGCTAATCAAGATTTTTTTTTTGTAAAGATTTATTTATTTATGCATACAAGAGCTGTGGTACAGGCCAGAGATGTTGGGGTACAGGTGAGAAAATCCCCCAGAGACAGAGTAGGGAACAGAACAGGCAAACTGACTGAAATGCACTATTGAGGGGAGCAGCAGGTGAGACAGGAGAGGTCCACCTCATCCTGTGGGTTTCTCTCTGGCCAGCCATGGTTCGAACTCTTGCTGCAGAGGCTGCAGATTGCTTCACAGTGCAGTGCTTAACCCCTTGTGCCACCAGGGAGGCCCTAATCAAGATTTTTTTTAAAGATTTATTTATTTATGCATACAAGAAGTGGGATACAGGCCAGAGGTGTAGGGGGGGTGAGAGGATTCACCGGAGATAGAGTGAGGAACAGAGCAGGCAGGTTGACCAAAGTACACTGCTGAGGGGAGCAGCGGGCGAGTTAGGAGAGGTCTGCTGTGCCATATGGGTAGCTCCCTGGCTGGGGATTGAACTCATGCTGCAGAGGCTGTGAATAGCTTCATAGGTTGCATCTTAACCTCTTGCGCCAGCAGGGAGGCCCTAATCAAGAATTTTAAATTTTAGTGTTACTGAGAAACTCACCTTACAGATAGAGAAATTAAGATAATAATGAGTAGTGGATAATGTTATTAATCTTTCTAATCATGGGGCTATTAATTATTATTAACTTTTTTAGATGATAACAAAATGTCTTATTTGGCCAAATAATCTTAGTATCTGTCATCCCCTTTCTTTCCAGAGCACATAAAGTTAATATTGTATTTGTGGTTTCAAATATGGATTGAGGGCCTCCCTGGTGGCACAAGGGGTTAAGCACAGCACTGTGAAGCAATCCACAGCCTCTGCAGCATGAGTTCGATCCCCGGCCAGCCAGGAAGAAACCCACATGGCAAGGCAGACCTCTCCTATCTCATCTGCTGCTCCCCTCAGCAGTGTATTTCAGTTTGCCTGTTCTGCTCCCCACTCTGTCTCTGGTGGATCTTCTCACCCCCTACATCTCTGGCCTGTACCCCAGCTCTTGTATGCATAAGTAAATAAATCTTTTTAAAAAAAAATATATGGACTGAAAACGAGAACTTTCCAAAAAAAAATTAATTTTCTTTGTACTGAAGTTCAAATCTATTTATGTTACAGCTTGTAATATGTTATAACCACTGAAGTGATTGTTAATAGTATGGACAGCTGTAACAATTTTATGTTTCCTTCTAAAGGACTTGAATACTTTCTTTCTGTACTAAGGAACGAAATACTTCAGTCATTTGACTGAAATCACAAAGAGTTGAAGGTTGACTTTATGAAAGCATTGCTCTCTATAAATGAAGAGCATGCGTCACCAGCAGCCTTTTGTGTATTCTTAGTCTTGAAAACTGCCCTTTAACTTTTCAGGCCTCCTTCCTGTTTTCAAGACCATGTTTCTCTACTGCTGTGCCTACTTCCCTTAACAGATTGTTCAAACAAGATTACCAACCCCACATAGGACTTCTGTTGTCAAGTTAGTGTACTTGTTTTTTGAAGCTTTCTGGGATTTTACTTTAAATCACGTCATTTAAGTTAGATCTTATTGTGTTCTTAGACACTTTATTCTGTCCTCCCTGCTCTTGTAAACTGCATTTAAGAGAACAAAACGTCCAAAACATGGTAGGTGACAGTCTCCTCTTACTCTGACATGACCCTGTCAGACTCTGTCTGGACCCTGCTTGTTCTGAGGGAACCTGAGTACACTGCAGCCTGTCCTTACACAGGTGAACAGAGAGTGATGGGTCTAAAGACCAAACACTGAGTCTGGAAAGAGTAGACTTAAATGGTGAGCATAATAGCATCAAACATTTGAGATGTTGCCACATACAGGAAGGGACAAGAAGCAGGGCAGACTAGTGGTTAAGGCCTTGGTTCTGATTCCAACTACCCAGATTCATGTCCTGGCTCTACTTTCTACTATTTGATCTTACATGAGCTTCTTAATCTTTAGCAGGGCCTGCCCCAGCATTTCAGAGCCAAATATAGAAGGGTAAATTTGAAACTTGAGAGATTATACATTAATAACCAGTGGTACCATTCATTAGAACATGACTTTCAGATCTATATATTAGTTAAATTCAAATAATTTAGCTTTCTGTACCTACAGTAAATGAAGTAAAGAGTTAAAGAAGTCTTGCATGACTTTATAAATTCTACCTGGTGAAAACATCAGGGGAGACTTTTGGCAGTTTCAATTTTAAGGTTTGCTTTGAGGTGACACAATTAAAAGGTATGGAATATTTGTTTCTCCTGAAAATAATCTAGAAAGTCAGAGATATTTTCATAATGTTTAATATCTGGTGTTCATTATCAAAACATAGCATTTCCTTAAGTTCCTTCACTGAAGGAACGTCCATCTTCTAATATTGAAGAATGAGAATGAGAATACTTGCTTTCCAGTCTGGAGGCTATGAGGCATAATCAAAAGGAGATGGGGAATAAAGAATAACGTAGTGGAGATAAGGGTAGCAGCAAAAATAAATTATTTGAATAACTGATGGAGAATTTCCTCCTTTTCTTTTTTCCCTCCCAATTTTTTGTATAGGGTTTATTTTTATCCCAAACCCCTTCCTCCCAGGTTACCAGTGGCACTGGATAAAGCAGTGCCTTAAGTTATATTGCCAGAAACCTAATGTATGCAACCTGGACAAACACATGACTAAGGAAGAAACCCAAGATCTGTGGGAACAGAGCAAAGAGTTTCTGAGGTAAGTCTTATCATTCACAATAAATTGCAGGTATTCAGCAGGGGTCATCACAGATCTTTCAGAACTAATCTTTAACAGCATAGTGGAAGTGACTGACTTGTTTATTTTTCCCTTGTTTGCAAATGCAGCACAATTATATTCTTTCCCCTAGGAATGTATGGACAGATGTTTTGACAGTTATATTAAATTGAGATCCATTTTAAAGATTTATTTATGATGGCTTAGATGTTGAGTTCATCCTCATTAGTCATGGGACAGTCCATTTTCATTCAGCTTCAGCCCTTTTTTCTGCTTAAAGTGAGTTCCTTTAAAGACTCGTAGTGTCCTGGAAATAAGTAACACTGATAGCTTTTATTTCTCCTCTCCTCAGTGAAGTTAATGCTAGTAACTTTTATGATAGGTCATAATTCATGACAATTAAAGTTTGTACCTTACTCTGATTTCAGCATTCATTCACTAGTCCACAAATAATTAATTAAGGGTCAGTTGTGTACCAGTTGTGATATTAAGCATTGAAGATACAAAGCAAAATAGTGTACTCCCCCTGAACTCAAGTAGTGCACACTCTGACAGAAACTCAGTATCAGTAGGAATCATTGTAATAGAGCTCAGAAAGTGTTACATAGGTGTTTGGAAAAATGTTATGGGCGCCAAAGGAAGAAATGATTCTTCTAGTCAGGGAGGAGCTGTCAAGAAAGATAAAATAATTTTTTTAATTGGGTTCATTATCCTCTTATTTTAACACTGTCCATTTGAGTGGGTCTTGATAAATGATTAGGAGTTTGCCAGTCAGAAGAACAAGAAGACTGTTTTGGAGAAAGAAAGCAGCAGTATTTAAACATTAAGTTGTTCTGTGAAATAGGAGCACAGAAAGTATGTATTCATGTTTTTATTCAACATATATGTGTGGAGTTTCTGCTGTGTACCAGATACTGTGCTTGTGCTAGAGTTTCAAGGACAGGCATGGCACCATTTGTAGTTTAGTTGAAGACAGAGACATAAACATAGAGTTATTTTTCAGCAGGTACAGGAGGAGAGATCATAATATATTATGGGAATAATCATGTAGCTAGCTAAATTCTGATAGACTGTGGAAAATGCTTCCTGGAAGTCATGAATGGAATTGGCAAGAGGTAAAGCAAAAAGGTAGGTTAGGGCCAGATTGTATAGAGTATAGTAATGTAGAGCACTAGTTCTGGAGTCAGAGTGCCTGGGTTCAACTCCCAGATTTCTCACTTACTAGCTATGTAAACTTCAACAAGTTTAACCTTTCTAGGCCTCAAAATAGTCCTTTCCTCATTTAATAGTGTGAGGATTAAACAAGATGCATGAGAAATCCTTGGCTCAATCTGTTAAAAACCAATATACCATCTTAGTATGTTCTATTTGTATTTAAGTGACTCTAATGTTGCAGTTTTCAGAAACTGTCAAACTAATTCTAAGAGGAAAAATAGACTTTCTTAAGTTGGAGGGGAAGACAAATTTACTGGTTCTCCTTAGAAGTCCAATGCACTATCCATTGCACCGCAGAGCCTGTTGGTTCTCCTTTAAAACCACCCTGAGTCGGGCCTCCCCTGGTGGCGCAGTGGTTGAGCGCTGGGTTGCGAGGCTGTGGCACCGGTTCGATCCCCAACCACCGGTGAGGGTCCCACATGGCACGCAGACCTCTCCTGCTGTGCCCGTTGCTCCCCTCAGCAGTGTGTTTCATCAGTCTGCCTGTTCTGTTCCCCGCTGTGGCTCTGGTGAGTTCTCTCACCCTCTCACGTTTCTGACTGTGCCCAGTGCTTGTATAAATAAATCTTTAAAAAAAAAAAAGAAAAAAACCACCCTGAGTCTCTAAGTTGTGGTATGTACAAAAGCAATAACTGTCTTCTTTAGAACTGAGAGGAAAATAAAGGAAGATCATGGTTGAATGAAATTGGTCCAAGAGAGTTTGTTACTAAACCAACTGGTGTTTTCAAGTAATTGATTTTTTTTTTCCTTCTGACAAATGACTCTTCAGAAATCCCAGTTGTCGTCTTCTAATATAGCACAGAGGAATCACTAGTAAATCATCCTGTAAACAATAGTGAGATCCATTTTTTGGCCTAATAAATTAGCAAAAATAAAAAATGTTAGTATCATACTTTCTGTTATCAAAGGTTGGAAGAAAATGATATGCTCAGACATTGCTAGCCACATTGAAAATTGACTAATTCTCCTTCTCACACTATATGATATGTGATTCCATTTCCTCATCTACGAAACAAAGAAATTGGACCAGATAAATAAAACATTCAAGGTGGTTGAATCTTGGTTAGTCAGAGGCACCTGGGTAGTAGATGCCAGCTTTTCCCCAATTCTGACATCCAGAGCATGTCAGAAAGGGAACAGACTCTGCAATACCAAAAGATTCCCCTGGAGATTCTGATTTTTTACCATAATATCCACATTTAGAACCACTGAACTAAAGTACTTCTAAGTATCCTTTCAATTTTAACTTTCTAGCTTTCTGTGGTCAGGGAAGAAGAAACTTTAAGTAGGAAATGAAGAAGAAATATTTGAATTTAGAAGCAAAAAGAGGTCTGTTTACAAAATTAGGGCACCTAAATGCTTTGTTCAAAATTTATTGTTAATGGGGCCACCCTGGTGGCCCCCCTCAGCAGTGTATTTCAGTAGATCTGCCTGTTCTGCTCTGCACTCTGTCTCTGGTGAATCTTCTCACTCCCCGCACCTCTGGCCGACACCCCAGTTCTTGTATGCATAAATAAATAAATCTTCTTTAAAAAAATGTATTAATGAATAGTATAGCTAGAGATTCTTGCACAAGAGTACAATCATTAGGTATAAGCATCCTAGCCAGTCTCCTTTGTCTCTTCTTGCTCCCCTTCTATTTTCTACATAAGAGTCTTCTCTTATAGTTTCTCATCTGCAGCAGTTCAGTTCTGATACACTCTGTCAGAGTCAGCAGACATCACATGGTAAGGGCATGGTCCCCACTAAGTCTGCCTTCACTTCAGACATAAAAACCACAAGTGTCAGAGATGTCCAGACAATCCATACTTCTAACCAAGTGGTTACAAATTTAAGAGCATTCCCATGACTCCCCTCAGGCTCAGTAACTTCCCAGTACAGTCACAGTTCAGGAAAGCATTAAACCTAAGATTACAATACTGTTTTAAAGGTTACAAATAAATGAAGAGACACAGAACAATGTCTGGAAAACAGCTTCCATGGCCTCCAAGCCCCATGAAATCAGGATTTGTTACCCTCCCAGGAAGCTGTCCCACACCTTAGTGTCCAGTTTTTATTAGGTTTTTGCTACCTGATCGTAATTGATTGAACTCATTCTGTAAGCCCTGAACTGTTCCCTGAGTTCCTGCTGATGATTACTTAACTCAAAACTGCAACCTAATCACAGTGTTGGTCTTTCTAGGTTGCCAGCCCACAACCTGTGCTATCTCCTTAACCTAAACTCCAGTCTGTCTTTAGGTCCTGCTGTGAGTAACAAAACTAGTACCATCCCTCAGGAAATCAATGGATTTAAAGTTCCATCCCAAGAACCAGGGACAAAAGTCTACAAGCCCATTACACTCAAAATAAAATCCAACATTTTTACCATAGCCTAGATGATCTGGCCCAACCACCTCTCCCATCTTATCGCCTACCATTTCTTTGCATTTATTCTCTAGCCATATTAACCTCCATGCTAATCCTTGAACACATCAGTCCTGCTCAGATTCTCTGTACAAGGTATTCCTTCTACCTGGAAAGTTCTTCCCTTAGAAAACCAAGGGTGCGCTTCCTTTAGTTCCTTGTTCTAATATTTAAGAAGAGATGATTCCCTTATTCAGTTTAAAGTAGTCCCCTGCTGGGCCTCCCTGGTGGCGCAAGGGATTAAGCACCGCACTGTAAAGCAATCTGCAGCCTCTGCGGCACGAGTTCAAACCCCAGAGTTCAAACCCCAGCCGGCCAGGGAGCAACCCACATGGCACAGCAGACCTCTCCTGACTCGCCCGCTGCTCCCCTCAGCAGTGTACTTCTGTCAATCTGCCTGTTCTGCTCCCCGCTCTCTCTGGTAAATCCTCTCAAACCCCCCCCCCACACACACACACACCTCTGGCCTGTTCCCCAACTCTTGTATGCATAAAATAAATAAACCTTTTTTAAAAAAATGAAATAAAGTAGTCCCCTGCTTTCCCCCTACTCTTTATCCCCTTGCCCTATTTTTTAATTCTTCAGTGCATAACGGTTACTAAATATTTATTTACAGAATTAGTTAATGAATACTTGCTGTTCCTTTTAAATTGTGTGATGTTTTATTGTTCAAAAACAACATTTTAAAGAATAAGACAGAAGGAAATATAAATATAAGCAAAAGCTTTATTCCATTAGTTAGCTTAGGAAATGCATGTATCCATTTTCATATATGTGAAAGCTTATTTCCATTGATATCCTCAATATAGAAGCAAAGTTATTCCCTTCCCCTTTACTATTCCTTTAGGAGTTTAACTGATGCCGGCCTCCCTGGAGGCACAAGGGGTTAAGTGTCCGCACTATGAAGCTATCAACAGCCGCTACTGCACAAGTTCTGTCCCCACCCAGGGAGTTGACCCACAAGGTGCAGCAGACCTCTCCTTTCTCTCCCTCTGCTCCTCTCAACAGTGTATTTCAGTAGATCCACTTGTTCTGTTCCCCACTCTGTCTCTGGTGAATCCTCTCACAACCCCCGCACCTCTGGCCTGCACCCCAGCTCTTGTATGCATAAATGAATGAATCTTTAAAAAAAAAAAAAAGATTGTAAATGATGCTGTTGTAATACTTACAGTGAGTCCAGTCATTTGTTTACATCAGTCTGGTTTTGATAATATAGTATGAGTGTTTCATCAGAATAAAATGATCTCTTACTAAACTAAAAAGGGGTGACAGATATTCTATTTTTTTTTTTTTAAGAGCTGGGGAGCTAGGGTACAGGCCAGAGTTGTTGGGGGGTGAGGGGATTCACCAGAGACAGTGGGGAACAGAATAGGCAGATGACGGAAGTACACTGCTGAGGGGAGCAGTGGGCGAGTCACGAAAGGTCTGCTGCGCCATGTAGGCTGATCTCTTGTGCTGCAGTGGCTGCCAATAGCTTCATAAGTTGTGTCTTAACCCCTTGCGCCACCAGGGAGGCCCTCATTTTGGTTTTTCATGTTAGCTGGAGTATTGTTTCTCATAGCATGGTCCCAAACCAACAGCTTCAGCATTACTTGCAAGCTTAATAGAAATGCAGGTTCTTGGGCCCCACCCTAGACATGATGAATCAGAATTTATAGGCCTGGCCCCAGTCATGTTAGTTTTAACAAGCCCTGTGGGTGGTACTGACGGCAGTAATGTTTGGCAGAAACTAAATGGGATAAAGCTTCTGTAACAACTCTTGCCATCTGGATACTCAGGGCACCATCCATTCTAAGTTCTGGAAACCAGGTTTATACTGCTCACTTCAGCATCTTCCTTTTCTCCCAGAAAACATAGTTCCAGTTTCTATAAACTCATCCTTCTTTTCTATCTCCTATCATTGAGACTGTCTTTAAATAAGGATTTGGGTACCAAATAATATCTTGAAAAGGATAATAAATAGAATGGGTCACTTTTGCAGGATAGGCTTGTAACTCTGTAACCACATTTGTATTGCCATTGACCACAAATCACATGAGTCCAGAAAGGGGCCATAGCTATTTGTCTGTCTCAGGGCTACTGAAATAGAGTATGTCCTCCAGAGTGGAACATCAGGGAATTCTATTGTTTGTACCTTTAACTGAAGAAACAGTGGTAGAACGTGTTTTACCATTTTAGTTTGCATTATTTTAGTTTTTACAAACAGAACATTTAAATAATGAATGGTGGTTATTCATAGTACATCAATCAACCAGTTGCCATCACTGGCCAAACCTACTATATCTCTTCCCCTAAGTTGGTTGGCTTATTGGTTTGTTTTCTGGCGTGAAAGACTTAATAGAATTGGTGTATATTTAAAGAGAGAAGAAAGGATATTCCTAATACTAGCTTCCCAATAAAACCCCCATATTATGCATCCCTCGTTGGCTAACATGGTTGGCAAAGCAGGGCTGCTGAGGCCTGAAAGCTTGCCACAAGTCTAAGGTACCTGCTGGCTGGGAACCACAAGAAGGGGGTTGAGCAGGTCCCAAAGAGCTGTGACAGAAGGAGTTACCACATCAAGGTAACAGGTGCTATTGTCTCTGCCAAGGACACCTCTCTGAGGTGTCTCTCTTACTGTCTCTTCCAAGTCTCCTATATGTCTTTCCTCCACATCTCCAACTCTCCCTCCCTGCAGTACCAAGGTGCAAGTCAAGCCACAGAAGCAAGACACTTGCCCTATATTGTTTACGTTGTCTGTCTCCTGTTGTGCCAGGGTTACCCAAGGTCACACCTTCAGTGATACACCATGTTACTCACAGGTCTAAACATATAGTTGTATTCATGGATGAGATGTATTATGTGAAGGAATACAGAGAAAAATCAGCAGAGGAAAAATGTACAGGGAGCAGGTGCAAGCTTCCAGGGCATCTCCTAGTAAAGTCTCCCAAGATGTGCTTTATTCCCCCAGCAACAAGTTGGGACAACGTGTATGAGATGTTGTCTGTAGGGAAGCCTGATAGCCAGGTTTTTACTAGGAGCCAATCACACAGGCAGACTCCCAAAGGAAAGCACATGTGCAACAGAATCAATTTGTTTGTGTAGTTCCAGCATAGTATGCCACAGTTCTGGGGATGGTGTGAACCTTCCCCCAAAATCAAGTTCCAGATGCCTGCCAAGGGCCAAACTTGTAAACAGGCCTTTCAAAAGAGAGCAATCAGATCCACTATGTCTCTTTTCTTCACAACTATCCTAAATAAATCAGTGTTTGTTCCATTCCTTCTAGCTACTGGTCTTGATGTATGTCTATGTCATGATGTACTTCTTAGAATGTAAACTTTGTGAGCACAGATAGCCTCTATTTATTCTGTAAACTCTTCGTCAGACATCAAGATGAGTGCCACTTCCACTGTGGGCCTCTAATAAATCCTTTGCTTCTGCTTCTGCTGTGTGCCTTTACTGCCTACTCCCTGTTTAAATGCTGGCCATTCTTCAACGCCATGCTCAACTCCCAGCTCTGCTCTGCAGCCTTAACTGATCGGACAGCTGAATTTAAGCTCAACTTTTTCTTAATTCTAGTGGCCCTCAAGGTTTTGTCCTGTATTTTAGTGCTAGATTATATACTGCCTTAAGTTTTCCCCCTCGTTTCTTATACATGTCAGTTATCTCCTGTCAGAATATAAACTCCATAAGCAGTAGGATCTTTTTTTAAGCAGCAGTGTTTTTGGACCAAAAAAAAAAATGGATTAATTATGTAAATTACATAGAAAAAATAGATCTAGCAGTCTCATGTTTTTAGACATCTAGAGGTGAATCAAACAAATTAGTTTCCTCTTTAGAAAAAGAGTAGTTAATCCCATAGATTTGATCAGACAAGATATAATTGCAGAAAGGACACCACTCTATTTTACAGAAACCGCCTGTGGTTTGAACAAGGGGATTTCAGAAACCAGATCAATTACAGTGGTCCTTAATTGTTAGCTACGCTTCAATTATCTAAGCTATGTTGTACAGGGTTGAAAAAGTCATGTTAACCCAGTTATTTTTGATTACATATTATATTTTGCCAAACTTTTTTTTCTGTAGCCTGCAATTCTGGGAAGACACCATCATTATAGACATAGTGATAGCTGTGATTAATCATACCCTACTTTTAGCAAACCAAATTGAACGTGGTCTATTAGCCAAATTTTCAATTACCCATAATGCTCTTAGTCCCGTTTCCTATGGACAGGTGAAGACATTTCTGCTGTCATTCTTGTTTTAACATTGAACTGCTGCAGACTTGCCATTTAAAATTGATCCCATTCAGCAGTGGGTCTAGAACCAAGCACTAGAAATTAGAAATTTTTCTTTTTAAATTAAATGTGTGATCAGTTCATTTGTTTGTTCTATTTTCCCTTGTCAAGATTTAAGGTAAGAGTTTATACCTTGGAAAACCAATTTAGACTCCAGTGTCCATAAAAAGGGCTGTTGCTGCCATTTGAGATGAATAAATCTTTGTCTCCAATTTCTGCAGGTATAAAGACTTAAATAAACGAAGACCCCGAAGTTTACTAGAGAAATTACGCTGGGTGACCCTAGGCTACCATTACAACTGGGATAGTAAGGTATTCAATTTTTCTTAATTCCATCATTTTTTCATTTTATGCTTCTAGCCATGTGGTTAGATTTCTTCCTGGTCAGGCTTAAAGTATCAGATTATCCATTTTGGGAGGATCTCTTTTTTTTTTTTTTTTTTTTTAACTATTTTATTTATTTATACAAGAACCAGGATACAGGCCAGATGCGTGGGAGGGTGAGAGGATTCACCAGAGACAGAGCGGGGAACAGAACAGGCAGACTGGCGAAATACACTGCTGAGGGGAGCAGCGGGCATAACAGGAGAGGTCTGCTGCATCATGTGGGTTGCTCCCTGGCCGAGGATTGAACCTGCACTGCAGACTGCAGACAGCTTCACAGCGTTGTGCTCAACCCACTGTGCCACCGGGGAGGCCCAGTTTTGAAAAATTAAACAGGAACTCTTTATTTGCATCAGTAGAGGGAAAAGAAAAAAAATAAACATATTCTAGTTGATGAGGCTTGGTCATCCGTCAGGACTTCTCACAGAAGTGTAACTTAACCTGAAGTCACTTCTGGCCAAAGTGAATGCTTTCTTCCCCTCTCTATGACACTGTTGGTCCAGCTAGAATACAACAGGACACTAGTGAAGATGTGACACAAACATGGATTTCTAACCAGGTTTCAAGTGTTTGAGCAGAGGGAAAAGAAGAGAGGAGCATCCAATCAAAGGAAGAGTGTTGAGTGCAGGCTACCACTGCTAGAGCCGCCCCCACCTGCATGGGGACTGCCACCTTTTCACTCTTGTGAACTGTGTACAGAGGAGTCTGGAGGGAGAGCTATGGCTCTAATGGGTTTGTTTGTTTTAAAGAGAGAAAGAGTATTTGTGATCCTTAGATACGACAAATAGAGGCAGTGCAGATTGGTAAGTGCTGAAAATTACTTTCATTTTAATGTCCTTCCTAGGCTCCTAGTATAAGCCAGTTTCAATTCAGAATTTTTGAGCATGTTGTAACTTCAGACCAGTGAAATCAGCTCTAAGCTGTGTTGCAGGCTCGGGTCTAAAACCAAAATGGTAATGGTATTTGAGTTGTCTTTTTTTTTAAATAAACTTTATACTTTAGGATAGTTTTACAGAAAAATTGAATAGATGATACAGAGACTTCCTACAAAAGGAAATTCTCCCTATTATTATCTTACATTAGTGAGCCTCCCTGGTGGCGCAAGGGGTTAAGCACTGCACTATGAAACAGTCCGCAGCCTCTGAGGTACGAGTTCGATCTCTGGCCAGGGAGGTGACCCACATGGCGCAGCAGAACTCTCCTGTCTCGCCCACTGCTCCCCTCAGCAGTGTGTTTCAGTCATTCTGCCTTCTCTGCTCCCAACTCTGTCTCTGGTGAATCCTCTCACTCTCTGCACCTCTGGCCTACAGACCCCAGCTCTTATATACATAAATAAATACAATAAATCTTTTAAAAAAATCTTACATTAGTACAATACCTTTGTCTCAATCAGTGAGCCAATAGTAGCATGTTATTACAGTCGTGAAGTTCATACTACCTTCAGATTCCCTTAGTGTTTAGCAAAAATTCTTTTTCTGTTCCGGGATACATTGCACTTCGCATGTTTCCTTAGACAGTGACAGTTGTGAGTTTCTTTTTTACCCTAACAGAATTATCCTGTCTGGGGCTGAAGTATACTAGAGAGAGGTGTGGTAATTGCCTCCTGTGTGGACTCCCTGCAGGGTATATCTGTCTAGCATGCTGCCTGCCCTATAGTAGGCGCTTGGGGTTTTGAATACTTCATTATTAGGTTACCAGATGCCTCCAGTGGAGAAATCATGCTTGTGTTATTATTACATATAAGTCAGTTGGTTTGAAATTAATCTTATGCCACAGTTTCCCGTTTTCCTGAGATCATTGTTTATTTTTCTTATTTTCCCTACTTTTATCAAAGAAATACTCAGCAGATCATTATACACCTTTCCCTTCTGACCTGGCTTTCCTCTCAGAGCAAGTAGCCGCTGCCTGTGGGTTTCAGGATTTCCAAGCTGAAGCAGGTATCCTGAATTACTATCGATTAGACTCCACACTAGGAATCCACGTGGACAAATCTGAGCTAGATCACTCCAAACCCCTGCTATCATTCAGGTAAGTTAGATTTAGGGTTTTGGGAATACATTTTATAACTTCATTCCTTTTTCTAAAGCATTTTTGAGCTCAAATAAATAAAACATTAAACTTTTTAAAATGGTGGAACTCATCATTCACTTCTGGGCTCCTTCACAACGTATCATGAGTAAAATTAGCCTAGACCTTTAAGAGCAGTGACCAGTCACTGTAACTATTTCTGCTTAAGATGTTTGGGGTCTGCTTTTGTAATGAGAGGTATTGTCGGTGTCTTTGTGAAATAAGTAGAAAGCCATACATAAGGCAAAGTGAGAGGCCTTTTTGAAAAAGAAGAGGAAAATTCAAAAGCCCAAATAGTTTATTCTCCTTGACTCCCTGAACATGATTAATTTTATACAGAGTATCTCACAAAGAAAGTACCTGAACAGAATCTTTTATTATCTTTAAAGTAAATTAGCATGTAATAATAAAGGACTCCAATATTTTATTTGAACACTTAAAGGTACATCAATAGCACCTACGTGGATAATGTTGAGATTAAATTTTTAATTTACATTTTCAACTGCTTTGCTTTGAATTTTATTTTGCAGAGCAACTCTGGCTCCTACCTTTAGGTTGCAGATCATGGTTGCTACCTCGGACAGAAACCAGCAGAGAAGGAACTTAGCACAGTTTAAAATGGAGGATTTGGGAACAATAAATATCAGCTGAAATTAGAAAATAATGCAATTGGCATAACCTTCCCATGGTTAGTAACAGAAGTGTGCTGTTGTGTTTTGTTTCACTTGTCTTTTTGTAGCTTTGGACAGTCTGCCATCTTTCTCCTGGGCGGCCTCAAAAGAGATGAAGCCCCCACCGCCATGTTTATGCACAGCGGTGACATCATGGTAATGTCAGGTTTCAGCCGCCTGTTGAACCATGCCGTCCCTCGGGTCCTGCCAAGTCCGGAGCGGGAAAGCCTGCCCTGCTGCCTTGCGACGCCTCTCCCAGCTGTGCTGCCCAGAGACTCAATGGTGGAGCCCTGTTCAGAAGAGGACCGGCAGGTGTGTGCCAGCTACTTAAAAACTGCTCGTGTTAACATGACTGTCCGACAGGTGCTGGCCACAGACCAGGACTTCCCTCTGCAGCCTGTGGAGGAACCTAAAAGAGACGTTGCCACAGAAGGTCTCTGCCATTTGGATGGCGAGAGAAGCCCATTCAAACGAGCACGGTTAAACCCTGACTCTTGAGGTGTGGAGATGCCATTCTCCTCCTCGGGCAGGGCTTCTGGTAAATGACTGTTGCCATAGATTTTCCCAAAACAAGCCAAAAACAGGGGAAACTCATCACTCATCACATTGTTTGCTTTGAAACCTATCCTGAAGAGAGAAGTTGTCAGGCACCGTGTGGAAAGTCCCGGGAAGCATCGCCTTCCACAGCAGCTTCTCAGCCTCTGCCATTATCTCGGGGGAAAGCAGAAGGGAATTTCCACCTCTATAAGCTTTTTAAATACCTCAGGTTTAGTTAATGGGAAACACAGTATCCTTCCTACCTCTCTATCTGGTGATTTGTGATAAATCTGGAGTTCCATGCATCAGCCTTTAATCTCACCTTAATCCCTCCAGTCACCATCAAATCCTTTGCTCTTTTCTGACCTTCACAGAAGATTTCTACATTAATTAAGACAATCCTACATGAATTAAGAAAAGAAATTAATCACACTGTCTCTATTGCCTACAGGGTAAACCCAAGGAAAGGGTGAGAATAGTTTCCCCCACCATCCTTCAGGTCTCTAAACTCTCCCTGTTGGCTTTTTAATGCAGTTTTAGTTGTTGGACTAAAAAAGTCCTGAGGGTATTCTGTAACTGTTTTCTCCGTGAATAAACTTACTCGATTTTAAATTGAAGCTCTGTACCTGTCATTGAGGGTTAGTGTATCTGTGATTAGTTTTTTTTTCCTATTTTTACATGTTAAGTTTTGCATGTTATCTCGCTGTTCCTGCTCTACACGTTCTTTGCAGCTTGTGTCACAGATAATATTCCTTAATACTCCCATCACTGCTGTCATTTTTGATTGTAGACAGCCTGAAAAATGCACGAAACGTGGAGTTTTAACCTCTATACCCCATCTCAGCTTGACTCGCTGTATCCTGAGCGAAGTTACTTACATTTCTCTGGACCTCAGTTTCCTCCTTCATCAAATGATAATATTTGCTACCATCTTCCTAGAGGGATATTGATATTTCAAATGGGAATTTAGTGTTCCTTTCTGGAAACGTGTGCCAAATTTTATTACTAAATGGACTCTTAGAAATATCCCAGCTTATTTGCTCATGTGGATGTCTGACTGGAAGCCACTTTGATACCTGCTGCTTGCACCATGACTTGCTGAATTTGCATTCTCTGCCCTGCATTTCTTTTCCTTACAAGTACTGAATATTGAGTTCATACTATAATCTCAGGGATTTTTTTTTTTAAAGTTTGATTTATGCATACAAGAGCTGGAGTACAGGCCAGAGATGTGGAGGGTGAGAGGACTCACCAGAGACAGAGTGGGGAACAGAACAGGCGGATCTACTGAAATACACTGCTGAGGGGAGCAGCAGGTGAGACAGGAGAGGTCTGCTGCACCATGCGGGTTGCTCTCTGGCTGGCTGGGGATCAAACTCGTGCTGCAGAGGCTGCGGATTGCTTCATAGTGCAGTGCTTAACCCCTTGCGCCACCAGGGAGGCCCAATGTCAGAGATTTTTAAGGAATAAAAGATAATAGTAGATTCAGCCCTCATGTGTAACTAGGTCCAATTATAGGAAAATTTTACATAATGAAAATTACTGCTGGAAAAATCCCTTAAATTTTCTATAATGTATATTATATGTAACCCACTGGAAACCAATATACTGCTGTTCAGTAAACCCAAAAGTCAGCTTGTCCTTCAGCATTAGAACAGATCACTCAGTTGAGTATCAGGTAAAGGTGTTGACTTGTGTTTAGGAGCAGTGTTGCAAGAAAATTACATGTTCAGACTGTAAACTCACACTGCATGAATCCATCAAGATGTTTATGCTAGGAGAGGCAAGTGGAAACTGAGGCCAGACAAGAGAATAACAGATTCCTCTCCCCAGTCCCAGGCTCCCTCTAGGCATGTGCTAATTGAGTGGGATGGTGAGCAGTTGAATGTTTGCATTCCACTCGCATTTTTATTTCAAGAGTGAGACATAGAGTTGAAGATGTGTATATTACAACTTCAACCATAAGAAGAAAATTAATTCAGGAAAAATGAAAAGTTAGGTGTCAGCAAACAATGACTCATGCCCTATTTTTCTCCCCCTCCCCCCCCCATAGATTAAAGATTTGTTTTCACATATTTAAATTGGGCAGGATCAAAAGAATATTTTGTGACACATGAAAATTACATGAAATTTGAATTTCTGCCACATTCATTTACAGGTTATCTGTAGTTACTTTCATGCTAGAATGACAGAGATGAGTAATTGTCTACAAAGCCTAAAAGATATAAACTGATCTTTTTAAAAAAAAATTATGCATACAAGAGCTGGGGCACAGGCCAGAAATGCGGAGGGTGAGAGGGCTCACCAGAGACAGAGAGGGGAACAGAACAGGCAGACCAACCGAAGCATACTGCTGAGGGGAGCAGTGGGTGAGTCAGGAGAGGTCTGCTGCGCCATGTGGGTTGCTCCCTGGCTGGAGGCTGCGGACTACCTCATGGTGCGGTGCTTTAATCCCTTGTGCCACCAGGGAGGCCCCCAAACTGACCTTTTATAGAATAAGTTTGCCAGCCCCTAGAAAACTAGCTCAACCCCATAGAAAGGAACCTGAAACCAGGAGAAGGGAGCAAGGAAAGATTTTCTTTTTTCTTTATCATTATTGCATGCCAAAGGGAGAAACAAAAATGCCAGAGTAGATACTCAGTATGACCTAGGAAGTGTCAGGCATGAAGTCACAAATGTGAAAAAAAAAAACGTGTTAAGAGCCTGGGAAACTGGCTCTCTGGTCTGTGCTGGTGGGAATGTAAGTTCTGAAGCCTCTGAAGGCACAGGTTGGCATCAAGCAACATGTAACTACATTCCAGTTTGGCCAGGGCAGTCTGAACTCTGTCCTCTTAGACCTGATCTGGTTTAATGATACATTATATGGTCATCCCAATTCATTTTTTTAATGTGTACTTGTAGTGGCAGGAAGGCGTGGGCAGGATCTGTATCATCCTATACAGACGGGTGAAGGAGGAGTCCTGGAGCCCTCGGTGGATTTTTCAGGTCTTTACTGAGTTTACCAGGTACACGGCAGGCAGGGGAGCCAGGGAGCCGGGAGACTGGCAGGTGTCCCACCCACAGTAAGTCTTCTCTCTTTCTGGGCTCTCTGGCGTTCTCTTGTGGTCTCTGCTTCTCTGCTGGTTCTCTTCCCTTCTCTTGTTTCTTCTCCTTCTAGTGGTTCCGTTCTTTGCTCCCTTCTGCTGGTTCCATTCTGCAACACCGCCCTTACAAGCCCAGTCTCTCAGCCCAGGTATACCCACCTACTCCAGGTGCCCACCGTCGGGCATGCATGCAGGACCGCAGGGATCCATCATCAATCCTAATGGCAGGAGGGCAGAAAAGCCTGATACTTTACTTACCCCACAATACTATTTGACTCTACATTTCTCTTCTAGGAGTTGAGTCTAAGAAAGTAACTAGAGCTGTCCACAAAGACTTCTGTAAGGATGTTTATAAATAGTAAGATCTTGAAGAAGTAAGATCAATATCCAGAGATAAGGAGTTGACTGGTTAGATTTGTCTATTGGGTTGACAAAATGTTCTCCATACTAGGACCTGTTCTTCCAATGCACAAAGTACCTGCCTTCCCAGGACTTCCCGGGAGGGTATGCAGGAATCAGACAATGGAATCATACAAGGGAAAACTGAAACTATTAAAAGTCATGTTTTGGAGCAACAGCTTTGTGGGGAGATTCATTCTGTATGTACACTACAGACGGTATATTGTAACTTAATTTGGTACAGAGTGTTTATTTTCAACATAAAAGCCTGGAAAGATGTTTATCAAAATGTGAACGATGGTAAGATCATAGTTACTTAGTTGTGCTTTTCTGTACTTAGGATTTTTTAACATTGAAAACCTTTCAATCATTTTTGTCAAAGGAATCAATGTTTGATTTTTTTCACTTTAGAGAAATACTCTGAGTTGATCATTCTACCTCTACCCGAAATTTGTCAGAATATCATTCTTGTCTAACGAAAGGGGCTTATTTGATGAAACTATTTTACGTAAGAAAATACTAGCTTGCCGCTCTCAATCATGTCTTTATTTATTTTTTTATATCCAAAAGGACAGGTGACTTAAAAAAGGAGGAGGCCTCCTTGGTGGCTCCAGGGGTTAAGCACAGCACTATGAAGCTAGCCACAGCTACTGCAGCATGAGTTCGATCCCTGGCCAGGGAGCTTCCCACATGGTGCAGCAGACCTCTCCTGTCACACCCACAGCTCCCCTCAGCAGTGTATTTCAGTACATCTGCCTGTTCTGTTCCCCACTCTGTCTCTGGTGGATCCTCTCACCCCCCACACTCCTGGCCTGTACCCCAGTCTTGTATGCATAAATAAATAAATCTTAAAAAAAAAAAGGAGGGGGAGAAGAAGACATAGACAAGCAGGCAGGAAGAGCAGCAGCTGCTGTTGCTTTGCAAAAAGAAGAGGTTTGCAGAAAAAAAAAAAAAAACACCTGCATAGTCACAAGCAGGCAGGAGAGTTGCCTCAATCATGTTGCAGAGACAGACTTAATTACTGGAGGAAATACTCCACATGTTAACTAAGAAGAACAGCATGCACAGCATCTTACAGGGCTGGTTTTTTTTTTTTTTTTGTATGCGCAATATGTTTGTGGATAGAAAAGCCGTATCTTGTATCTTCCAAATTTTCTGTAGCCAGCATCCACTGCTCTTTGGAAAAAGGCCTTTATGATCCTGTTTGAAAGGGGGCAGCTAAGGCGCACACTGAGCTCAGCAGTGACTCTGATTTTCCGCTTACGTTAAAATACTTTTGACTAAAATAAGATCCTCTCAATGTTCTTTGCTTATTATTTCAGGACAGCCTCTTATCTGTTGCCCATTTCCAGCACCTACCTTGGTTCTTTCTAGAAGGCTCCCAGAACCCCAGGGAGACATTGGGTATTACTGAGCAGGACAGACGGAGTCAGACTTGGCTTGCCATGTTCTTTTTCTGAATTACATTTGCACTGAGATAAGCTGGTCTCCCATTTTCCCCTTAATCTAAAAGTTTGGTTTATTTGAGTAGGAAAAAAATAAACCCCTAACACCTTACGTGGATTTCACAAAGGCAAATTGGAATGGTAATAAGGCAGAAAGGAGCCCAGGGAATGATTATTGATCTCAGCATGACTGGTGCTGAGGAGCTAAGCCAAAAGACACCTCACCTGTTTCCTCCTGTGTTAAAAGTTACAGTAGGAAACCATGCAAGTCCTGTTTTTAGCTTGGACAGTAAATTTTTTTTGATGTTCCTTTTGATCAGCTAACCTATTCAAATTTGAGCCCTCATGGAGATAAGTTTATTAGCTCTCTCTTGTAAAACATTTCTTAGCGGGCCTCCCCGGTGGTGCAGCGGTTGAGCGCTGGGCTGCGAAGCTGCCGGCAGCGTCTGCAGCATCGGTTCGATCCCCGGGTGCCAGGCGAGGGTCCCACATGGCGCGCAGACCTCTCCTGCCGCCCGCTGCTCCCCTCAGCAGTGTGCTTCTGTCCTTCTGCCTGCTCTGCTCCCTACTCTGGCTCTGGTGAATTCTCTCACCCTCCCGTGCTTCTGACTGTACCCAGTGCTTGTATAAATAAATAAATAAATCTTAAAAAAAAACCCTATCATTATAAAAAAAAATATTTCTTAGTGAGCTGGTATCATAAATGGGAAGTGAAATAGAGTGGTTATCAGTAAAACTACGTTTTAGTAACAGCTTCAAAGCTTAGCTGTGTAATAAATGACTCAGTTCAACTTCCGTTAACCTTTTTAAAAAGCCCCAATTAGCACTTCTGGACCTGTTTTTTCATGTATAAGGAAATTTGACCAAGTAATACTATGTTACCTACCAGCTCACTTAAATGTTCGTACAATTAAATTCTCCCTCTCATTTTTATTTTTGTAAGACATGTAGTCAAAGATGTACATAATACAACTGTAGGGTAAGAGAATTGGTCAGGCTTTTAAGTCATTGGCTCTGAGGCTATCACCTGCGGCCTTGATCTTGTTAACATAAAAGACGTTTGGGTGTGAGGCATGCATGCCTGATTATGGACACCCAAGCATGGGAATGTGCCTAGGAGGGCAGATGAAAGGGCACCGCCCTGAGGAAGGTGGGGGTTCCGACTTGCTATCCCCCTGCTGGCTTGTTTCCCCTGCATACTATTAAAAAACCCATGGGGATGATGTCATGGGGCCCAAGTTTCTCTCTTAAGCTGCCCGAACAAACGGTGAACCTCCCAGCCTGGGACTGTTGCACAACAACAACCTTAAAGTAAGCAGAAAAGTATGCAATTCAGGATAAAGGAAAAACTGATCTTTTTTAAGCTAAGAAATTTATTTGAGAGATTAAACAGCAAGAGAGGTACCCCATGGCAAGATTTTTGTAAGAAATTCAAGT